TTATGGTTAGCCACTGAGACATTTGGTGTTGTTTGTTACAACAGCTACTGTTACTTATCCCGACTAATTCGGGCAGATGACACAGACACGGGGAGCACCCTGCATCCTAGGGCTAGATCGCAGTATGCAAGAGGGATCGTTGCTGGACGGTGTATGGCAACTAATGTCTAATGCAAGCTGGTAGATGAGGTCGCAGAAGGGGAAACACACACAGAGCTGGAGCACCTTACTGGTGTGCTGTAGGTGCTTAATAAAATTGATTGAATGAGTGAACTGCATGAGAACATTGGAAAAGCTTTGTAGGGGTGGCTGAAGTCACCAGACCCCTGAGGATGGGTGGGGTTTGGATGAGGGAGTAGAAGCAATTACCCTGGAAATAAAGACAGAGGTGACAAAGGGCAACACCTGCCCAGGGGTCAGAGGTCCGTAAGCAGCCTGTCTGACCCCAGCTGAAGAGCAGACAGAGATGGAGCTAGAACTTGGAGGCCCTCAAAGGCCAAGATGAACCATTTAAACCTTAGGCTGTGGGCCAGTGGTCTCCAAAGTGGGGGTGTGTACAACAACCTATTGGGATACAGGAAGAAAATATTAAAACTCCCGTTGATATTTATCCTACTCCTTTAAATCTGTGTGTGTGTGTGTGTGTGTGTGTGTGTGTGTGTGTGTGTGTGAAGATACTAAGGCTCAAAGAGGTTGAGTAGCTCAACTTAGGTCACACAGTTAGTAAGCATGCTGGACTGTGAAGCTTGCTCTTCACATACGCTGAGTCTTGGGCAGACAGGTGAGGGGTTGAGTGGGGGCAGGGGGAGGGTCTAGGCCAGGCCGGCTGCCTCTGTCTTACAGCAGGCCAGTGACCTATTGCAGACAGAGGTCAAGAAGCCTGCCCAGGCCTGCCCTCCAGGACTCCTGTGAGAAGCCAAGCAGAGAGTCTTGATGGATACAGGCCTGCCTGGCCATCCATCCAGAGCCTTTTATCCCAGGCTGCATTCTCGCCTTTGTGAGCAAGGACGGGGAGGACCAGGTGCTGGATGGAGGTCACGATGGCCTGACAGAGAGGAATGGGGAAGAGTTTGGTAAATCAGGCTCTCTGCCACCCCCATGGCCAAGGGAACCCAGATGCCAGCCCCAGCCTGCTTTCCTACACTTCACTGCGCTGGGGAGACAGGTGATGTGTTCCTTCTGATTTATACCTCTAAAAACAAACAAACAAACAAAAAATCTATTGCCAATTTTTAAAAGTGAGCAAATGTTTTCATTAAAATATACATATAGAAAAATGCACCATTTGTAACAGTGTAACAGGATAAATTTTTGCAAACTGAACGCACGTAAGGGTAACTAACACCCAGATCAAGAAACAAAACATGTCCCAGCTCTCAGAAACCCCTTCACGCCTCTCATGGTCACTACCCTTGATGGTAGTGACAGCCGTCCTAAGCCTGTTGTTGAACTGTATCTGAATGGAGT